CTCTGTGCGTGACAGGGGGGCGCTCCCCAACCCCCTGATGGGCCCTGCTCTGTGCATGACAGGGGGTGGCGCCGCAACTTCCCTATCGGCCCTGCCTTGGGTGTGACAGGGGGTGGTGCCCCACCCCCCAATCAGCTGTACCTTGAGCGTGGCATCGCAACCTCCCGATCTGCCCTGTTCTGTGCATGACAGGGGATCGCGCCCCAACTCCCCAATCGGCCCTGCTCTGAGCCCGACCAGGGGCTGCACCTAGGGATTGGGCCTGCCCTCTGCCACCCAGGAGCAGGCCTAAGCCAGCAGGTCATTATCTCCTGAGGGGTCCCAGACTGAGAGAGGGCACAGGATGGGCTGAGGGACCCCCTTTCCCCCCCGAGTGCACAAATTTTTGTGCACCGTGCCTCTAGTAACATATATAAAACACTTAGCGTAGAGTTTGACACATAGCAGATAATCAAAAAGTGTTAGTTCCCTTTCTTTTCTACCTTTTACTTGGGGAAAACTTCTCATCCTGAAAAAAAGTGGGGGGTAGTTTCTTTGAGGTTAATTGTAATATCATAGTGCCATCTGGTGACCATGTAGAACTATTACATTACCTGTGTTAGATGCTGCATTTCTGACAAGGCTCTACACCTGTATTAAAGATGTCATCTCTAGGCTAGTGTTGAAGGGACAGGGAATGATGGCTGTGCTTGAAGACTGTTCTACTGAGTTTAGAGACCTCTCCCCTGCCTGGACATTCTTTCTTGTCAGGAAGCAGTGCTCAAGAAAAAGGAGAAGAGCTTCTCCCATAGCCTATTCTAAGATGGGCAAATGGCAGATTGAGTGTGGAAGCAAGTGAGTGAAGTATTCACATTTATTCAGCTCTAAGGGAGGTACTGAAAGGGAGAGGTTGTTATTTTTTTCCTGTTGAAAGGTCTGCCCTTGAAAAATTTGGCACAGTGTCTTTGACCTTGAATCCAATCCCAGAGGAGTTTCAAAATCATGTAACCCTAAATACTACCCAAATATTCCTAAAAATGGAATAGAAGAGCGCCCTTTTCCATTTTCCCACCTCCCCCTAGCCCAACCTGGATGGAGTACTGTACCATTAGAATACAGCCAATGCCTCTGCATCCATCAGAATTGTACCTTGGCTCAGGTTGCAAAAAGTACCCCCACCCCATCCCACCCGACCTCCAGTGGCTCCAAAACAAGCCTCAACAGATGGCCACTCTTGCCATCTCTCCTTTGCCATCAAATCAAGTCAAACTGGTCACTTTATTGAATTTGAACTTTATTGTGGTTTGGATTATGTAAGGCAGTGTAGTGAAGGCACTGCAGAAGTAACACAGGCTGAAAAATATGATAGAAAATGAGCAAGCTAAAAAAAACTCTACAAAATATTTTTTAAATGAATGCGTGCTGGACTACACTAGGTACTACAACTATGTGGGTTTTTTTTTAACATTGCAGAAGCATTGAAATATTGTTGGAGGTGGGGATTTGGGGGTTTAGGAAAGGCTTCATGGAGGAGGTGGCATTTATGCTGGGCCTTAAAGGAGGGGTAGAATGTTGATAGATGAGATGGAGGGAAGAACATTTTGGAATGACTGACTCTAGAGAAAATTCTGTAGAAGTACTGAAAAAATAAGAGGGCAAACAAACACCCTCAGGGAGGGAAGCTTCCCAAGTGAGAAAAATGCTTGAGGGGCCTGGGTTGTAACCAAAGCCTCAAGGCCTCAGATGGGATCTTCAGTACCAATGACATTAGGAGGCACAGGACAATGGGCTTGTTTGTAAACCTAGCAGCAGCAGGAGGTTTCACATTGCAGTCAGGGGCCCAAAACTGGCTGTACTATGCCTGGATGAATTTTCTTATCTTTTCCGGGTGTGTGGTACTTATACATTCTTCCTCTTGCCCACTGACGGCCTGAATGGTAGTTCGTGCGCGCCTAAATGCGCGTGTGTGAGTGTAGGTGTGTGTGTGGATGGGTGGGGGACAGAGGCTTTGTCTCCCACTGCAGCTTCTTCCGTTTTCCCTCTTGTGGCACACAGCTGGCTTCCACTGAGCTGGAGCTCAGGCCCTTCCCACTATCTAGGCCTCGCTGAACTCGAGCTCTTGATTAAGCACCAAGGAAGCTTCCTCAACATGAAAGTAAAACCTACTATGGGAGGTGACTTAGGTTAATGCAGGACTACACTTTCCGGAGGTGATGATGATGGTGTAGTGATACTGGTGGTGGTGATGGTGGGAGTGACGGTGGTGGTGATGGTGGTGTAAGGGCTGGGGACTTATAAGCAGGCTCTGGCTGTGGAATACAATGCTTCAGGGTTGTTTGTAGTGTTCAGTAAGAAGCAGGGATGTCAGGCTAGACCAGCTTGGCCTTGATCACCCCTCCCCCTTCCTCAACATGCTCTACAGAGGAGATATATTGGGCACCTGAAAGCAGCAAAGACATCTGTAGGGTATCCAAACTGTTGTTGTCCTGCTTGAATCTCACCCCCGGAAGCTCCAGAGATATTTCTTGGCAAACATCCATATGATCTCTGGATAAGACTGTCACCTCCCCCTGTCCAGCTGCTGGAGGTATATAGGTTATGTAGCTACTGATGCTACTTGGATCGGGAGGTATGGGGAACTTATCAGAAGAAAGGAAAAGTTAATTACTATTAATTTCTTTTTTTAAAGATTATGAATCTGAGACAAGATCTGGCATCTGACAGAAAATAAAAGGGTGGAAAGCTGTCAGGTTTTTCTGGAGCTGGAGATTTAGAGCTCAGTAAGATCATCGCTGGAAATAACCTTAAGGCTGAGGTGGCCTTGCTTGACTTTCGCAGTTGGACCACCCTTCTTACGAAGGTACAGAGACTTCAGATCACGGCAGTCACTGGGGTCAGCATCCAGAGTAACCTGCCCCAAGAATTGATCACAGAATTTTCGGCTGTTCCAGACCTGGAGAGACAAGTTGAGTGAAGGTGAGTAACCCTCTGTGAGATTGGACTTTTCCCAGTGGCATCTAGAACCTAATGCTAAGTTTAGAAAGGTTTGTTTAAAACTAAAAAAATTCTCTCCTGATACCTCATTGGCTGAGGGGAGATACCTGTAACAGTGATGAAAAGCCTTTAAGTCAGAAGAACAACCAAACTGTAGTGGTCCTTCCTGACATAGTAGGATCAGGATAATCTGAACAGGTTTATGCTTTCCCTCATGGGTTTTTACAGTACCTGAGAGCATGAGGGCTTCTTCTCATAATGAAATAAATGGAAAAGAAGCTATTTAAGATAAAGATTAATAAGGAAGTCAGTGTCTATTCCTGGTGGGAAGTGCTTTTGAGTACAAAACAAACAAACAAACAAAAATCCAGGTTAACCCTTGCTCTGTATTCTAGACATATGTGAGGCACTTGGGATAGTCTAGTGTGCAATACGAAATATGAGCCACCCTGGGGGTCCCTATTCACATTCTCACCTGTACTATAATAGGAATGTCAGTGGTCCTTCTGTAGAAAATGGCCTGTGTGTCAAAAATGGCATGAACAGTATTCTTTTGGACAGGAGAACGGACTTCATCCTTTCCACACTTGATGACCAAATATGGGTTCACAGCTGGAACAAAGTTACATTTGTTATTAAGACAATGATTAAATTTCTCTCCAGATAGTCAAGAAACTATCTCACTAAGTCCATTTTGGGACACTGAGCATAACACTGGGGTACCAGAATGACCCAGCACTTTTGTTCCTGGTTCCTTTTTTCCATACATTTTGTAAAGGAATATAAAATAAATATTATCTAGGCCTTTCCCATAGTTTACATTCCATTTTGCCATGGTTGAAAGCCATCCTGATTTGTCTAGACTGAAAATACGATTGGAGAGAATCATTTGTGACCATCTTTTCTAACCACACATGCAAAAATTGAAACTAAATTTTGTTTTCCCAGACACCTTTGCAGATCTTACTTTCATTGGCATATTTCTTCTCCAGGCCCTCAGCACTGTGGACAGTGATCTGGGTAACTACCTTCGGGTAGCCACGAGCCAAATTCCAGCAAGACATCTTGGGCATGTCCAGAGTCAGTTCCCTGAAATATGAAAGAGAAGACACATTATTGATGTTGAATGTCCTTTTTTGATGAGGAGATAGCCAAAGCAGACATTGTTGCTAAAAAACATGAACTACTGAGTGACCTAGCTCATTCTTCCTCAGACATGGCTTATATTTTATGACTGTTTTCCTGTCCCCTTATTTTAAGGACCAGCAGATAAAGATCAAAGAAGTCAGAGTTGGGGTGAAAAGGTAGCTTTGGTGACCCAGCACTAGAACATAATAGAGGAACAGTGAGGAGGGCCAGCTGTCTAAGAGAAGAGAGAGTCAGCCAGAGAACAGAAGATAAAATATAAGTGGAAAATGTTAGGCTATAGGCCTGTTCCCCTTAAATAACTGGTCAGAGATTTCAAGTTCAGATCCCCCACTGGGGAATTTCTCATAACCCCACTTTAAAATATATTTCTACCACCATCATTTCAGTTAAATATAATTTGAACAAGTTGTTCTTTTGGAGGCAAAGCAGAGAATTAGAGTTCACAGGGCTGGCCGAGGAAACAACCTGAGCTGGACAGGCACTTCAGAGAAGATTCTCAGGAGAAACTCGCTGGTGCGGCCATGCTGAAACATGGTCGGGACAAGCACATAGTTGCCTTTCTTCGGGTACTTGCTCAGAAACACGGTGCGGGTGTCAATATAGGTGGAAGTCCCAGCGCGCTCCTGGATGTAGAGGTGGTGAAGGCGAAATTTGCGGTTCATCTCCACCTGGAAATAAAATTGAATGAAATGCTCCATTCCACTCAAGTCATAACTTTCTGTTGGAAGATCCTAGGTCCTCTGCTTCCTTTATCCCTGGACATTTCTTAATTCCCCTAACTCCAAGCCATCCTAATTTTTACTCCCTTAGTCATCATTCTCTCTTCTCCAAATGCACATTCCTACCTTGAAGAGCTCAAAGCCAATGATGTAATTGTCAGGTCTTCCCATGCGGCGGTATGTACGCATATCCTTCTGCTGCAGTGACATGATGACCTTGTGCCCATCCTCAGGCACAGTGAAGATGTACTAAGGGAAAGAGTCCACCAAGGAGCTTAGTTAGCATTTCCATTTCAGATAAGCCAGCTCAAATTTCAGGGAAGAAAACTCCGCTTTGGAAAGCAGAGACTTGAGTTATTCTCTAGGCTTTGCCACTGACCACACAAAGAGGCCTTGGATAATCCATTGACTTGATAAGTGTAGATCATAATACTTGTTTTTCCCAATGACATTCAGCATGTATTGTGAGAGATAACTTCATGCCTATCCATTTGATGCCAAAGGTATTATGCTTTGTTTTAATAAGATCTTGGGTGTTTTTGTTTTTATTATTGTCCTCTTGTTAGTAAAAGCTGTATACAGGAAAATTCCAGAATATATAAAAACAGAAATTATTCTGGTTTAACTTAAACTAACAGTGCAGCATCCCCCTAGCCAGTGGTCGGCAAGCTCATTAGTCAACAGAGCCAAATATCAACAGTACAACGATTGAAAATTCTTTTGAGAGCCAAATTTTTTAAACTTAAACTATATAGGTAGGTACATTGTTATTAACTTAATTAGGGTACTCCTAAGGTTTAGGAAGAGCCACACTCAAGGGGCCAAAGAGCCGCATGTGGCTTGCGAGCCGCAATTTGCCAACCACGGCGCCTAGGCTAACCTCCTATTACCAGGCAGATGTGTGGCTCCTGGAAGGGCTGGATCAACTTCCTTGAGAATTAATGTTTTGATACGACTGTTTTAGGAAGCTACAGGCCTGTGCCAAAGACTTTTCAAACATCATATGGGAAATCATGGTGCCAATGGGAAGTAAAACTAAAAGGCATCAGATCTCTCTCTATCTCTCTCTCTCTCTCTCTCTCTTTCTATCTATCTCTCTCTCTTCCTCTTTTTCTTTTTGTCTCTCTCCCCTCCCTCCCTCCCTTCCTCCTTCTCTACCCCCCTTTAGCAAAAAAACAGGAAACATATGCAGAACCATAGGCTTTCAAGGCCACCAAAGGTCAATCTTGTACAGACACTTAACAGTAAATCAAAAAGGTCATTTCTTCAGCTTGGTTTATGTGCTTGATACTTAAAACATTTCCAGATTGTAAACAGAGGTGTAGGGAGGGAGGAATAGGAGCTTTCTTTTGTTTAGGGACAATAAAAATGGAAGGGATGGAGAAAAGTATGAGTTAAGTAAATTAGGCCATCAACCTTAATGCCTATCAATGAGGTCAATGCAAAGAAAATACACACGCATGTAAGGCTGCAGTACATTCAGAAATCTTATCTCCTGTGGCTTAGCTCATCAGCACATTTGGGGATAAAACCATCCAGGTTACTATAGATTCAAGCTTTGGATGTTTGGATGTTTTGCTTTGGGGTATGCCTAGGCTTGAACCCTAATATATCACCTGGACTAGCATTGTAACGAGGTATAGATGACAGGATAGGCATTCAAATCCTGGGGGAAATGACCTGGTTCTAGAGACATAATGATGAAGTTCAAAAGAATAACCTTTATGACAAAGAGAACATGTATAGTTAAATGTGCACAAAAGAGAACAATTGGGCAGAAAAGAAATGAAAATTAATTGAGAAAGTGTCTGGGAGAAGATCCTTTCTATCCAATATGGGAACATCAGAAGGAAGTGGGAGTGTCAAAGAACCATACTAAGCAATATGGCCAGGAGAGAGGTAGCTAGAGGAGAGGGCTCAGACTTGATAATGTTTCTAAGGTATATCTCTCCAGAGACACAGTTTGCCATTTTTACCAGCATCTGGGCCAATCCCTAGGCATCTTGGTTGATGAATATTACACAATACCTGAAAATGGAATAATTTATGTCAAAGGAATACTCCAAGGTGGGCCTGGGTTCCTATTGTCTTGATAACTTGGAGGCAAGGAAAAACAATTGATTCAAACCTGAGGATTCTGCAGGAAGGTATCACGGTTGTTATAGCAGCCTCCTGAACGGTTCATCAGGGGATCATCATCCACAGTCCAGCATCCCACCACTGATTCCAGCTCCTTGTGGCCAAAAATGGGGTTGTTCACATTGCGGCAGACATGCAGTTCATGAAAGTTGCGACAAAAGTCCTCCAGGCTCATCCTGAATAGAAAGAGTACAGGAAAAAAATAAGATGGTACTTAATACCTACCCCTTTTGTTCCATGTAGAAGCCACAATTCCCTTAGCACATAAAATCTCTCCTCACCAAAACTCTCCATCATCAGACATAACAAGCTCCAGGTTCTTGCGATCTGCTGCAGTCAGTTGCTGCCACTCTTCAGAACTAAAAGCAAATAATCAAAAAAAGGACAATCCGTTATGTTTGCCATTGAATATCTACAGTAAGCAGTATGCCAAAGAAACAGAATGCATGAAGATTACGCCTGCTTTATCTCACCTCTGGCTAGGTCAGAGGCCCCATACTTAAGAAGAGCTGGCAGATGTCACTGAGCATTGACAGCCCACTAGCAGTTTGAAGGAATGGGTTTGGGAGAACTATAAGGCTTTCAAGATATAGCAGTCAAAGTGGAATGGCACTCACATTTCACTCCAGGGGCCGCTCCATTCCTGTCTTCCCAAGGGGTTCCTCAGGCGAATCATATACAGTTTCTCAGTACTGAAGACTTCCACAAGTCTCTCTCCAAGACGGATCTTCCGTATATCAGTCATTGTGTAGGTATGGCCCTTCAGTAGACCCCAATCAGTTTCAACTTCTTGTTCTTCCTGACTGGGAGACTGACAGCAAAGAAAGATACATAAGAGCATAATAATTGGGAGACGCAAGGCCTGGTTCCTCCTCTTCCTTGATTGGTTTACCGCAGTATGATTGAAGCTAGTTCTCCCTATGCAGATAGAAATTTGATCCAGATACCTAACTTGGCACAAAGTAAGTGAAGGAAATAAATAAAGAATTTAATATAACAATCACTTAAACAATTCAAACTCTAACTACCCACAGTACTGCACTAATATGAACAACATTAAAATTTGGTGCAGTTGGCTTACTCCTTGAGCAAAAAAACCTATAACCTCAACATCCAGGAACAGAGACAGAAGGCATAATTTAGCAGAGGCTATTTACATCAGCTTGAATGCCGCATTGCCCCTCAGAAGGACAACAGGATAAAAAGTTAAAGCCATCAATGTGTATTGATTGTTAGCTTTCTGAGTCCCATAATGGCTTTTCATGAATCTCCGCAGTAAGGGTGATATTCCCTACTAAATTTTGTAGTCTCCTATGTCAGAAATGGGCAAAGAGTAGTTGTTTTTGGTGAATACAAACCTCAATGGAGCAACAGATCAGACCTCCTTTGGTAAATGTTTTGTACAATTCTTTGAACAGCTTGTACTTCTCCTCAACGAGCTCAGTGTATCTTCCCTTCTGCATGTCAACAGTTTCGGCCAATGTGCCAGTGAAGTCCACTATGATATCAGTGGTGGTCAAACCATCAAGGGCTTCATAACAGCCAAGCAGCCTGGGAACAAATATGCAAGATTATCTTTGTAAAGTTATTTTTCCAAGTTAAGGACATATTGTCCCAAGAATTAGAACAGTCTCTTCCCAGCTAACCTTTACCATCTGGCTTTTCTCTATGTATGGCATGAAAGTTATTTTGAGATTATAGTCAGAGATTTCTAGGCTTAGGCTATGTTTTTCAAGGACAGTCCATGCAGAAACTTCTTTCTACAGGTAAATACTAGACAAGGAGAAAACTGAAGGCTAATGCCGTATTATTTGCTGATTAGCAGCAGGAAGGGACATCTAGGAGCAGGTAGCGGGGTAATAGAAACAAGAACATCTGATTGCTCTCTAAGCTAGGATTTCTTAGGGCCAATCCAAGTCCCAAAACAATGTCTTGGATTTGACTCAGATCTTACCCAATTTAAATTAAGGGACTTGGGCTTGGAGAGAATGAATTCCCAAGGGAATATGTGACCTTACTTTTCTCATGTATTCATCAATACCTACTACTTACTTTGCATAAGCTTTTTCCAATAGAGCATTCCAAAACTCATTCATGGAGGTGGAGAAGGAGAAAACCAGATCTCCATTGATGGTGGGCAGCAAGTCATCAATCACCACCTCAGTCCATTCTCCAAAATGCCAGAAACGGAAGCGAAATATCCCAGCATATTTATCTACTTTTCGAGGGTCCCATTCCTGTTCCTTATGGTTGGGAATTGTCTGGAAATATAAGAACATTCAATCAACTCTTATTCACCAGACTATATTCAAATATTGAAATTAAATTCGACTTCCAACAAATTCATGTGGCAACAGGAAGTACACTAAATACTACATCTGGTTTGTATCTAGATTGGGAAGTCTAGGTAGGGCATATTTTTCTACAACTGTTGCTTTCCTGGTTCAGTTTCGCTGAGGATAATATTAACATGTCTGTCCTGAATACACAGAGGGTGACTGCGGACAGCCAGTTAGGGGTTAAATTATTTCCCACAAATAATCTACAAATTTGATCATAACAAAATGTCTATACAGACATATCCATAGTTGCATGTTTAGTCAAATAAACAAGGCATTTTTAAAATTAAATTCAATCAAAATACAAGGTCTCCTGTAGTTTCATTTTTTAAGTCCATCCTAGAGTTTTCATGTAGATTCTATAGAATATAGATTCCATCCACAACTTGAGTAAAATCACATTTAGAAAATTCTCCATTTCTATACAATTACACATTAGTCTACTAAAATTATTTTTCTAAAGAAAATGCTCTAATTTGCCCCAAATTCAGTCAATGCTTCATTGCCCTGAATTCTAACTAAATGCCAAATAAATGTTTTACTCTTCTTTTTTTTAAAATATATTTTTATTGACTTCAGAGAAGAAGGGAGAAGGAGAGAGAGAGAGAGAGAGAGAGAGAGAGAGAGAGAGAGAGGGAAACATCAATGATGAGAGTCATCCATCAGCTGCCTCCTGTATGCCCCCTACTGGGGATCTAGTCCACAACCCCAGCATGTACCCTTGACTGAAATCAAACCTGGTACCCTTCAGTCTGCAGGCTGACACTCTATCCACTGAGTCAAACCAGTTAGGGCAGAAATGTTTTAGTCTTAATAATTTATGATAACTTCTTCAAAGATCTATTTCCATCTTTATCACATTTTGGTTATTCCTGGCCCTCCTAGCTTTATACCCCAGTCGGTACAGAGAATACAAGTATGCAGAGATATGGGTCAAAATACTGCAAGTGAAAAAGATCAACAAATATGTGTGAAAAATCATATAGACTAAAATCTTAATGGTAGAATCTGGGGGTGTATATGGATGTTTACTGTAAAATTCTTTCAGTTTCCTGTATTTGTGGAAAATCTCATAATAAAATATAAAAAATTACCTAGTTATTACTCTGATTTTAAGAATTAGACAATCTAGAAATTACAAGTTGACTTTTACTGAAATTATTAAAGAAGACAAGAAGGTGGAAACTGAGTAAGGTACCATAGAAGGAGGAATACCTTTGTCCAGTGAGACTCCTGGACAGCCAAACAGGAGAATGCAGAGACCATTGGCTTGTGCCCCAGTCTCCCTTGGATCAGCTGGTGGTTGCTGATGTTGCCCACAATCAGACGGGGGTCATCACAGATGTCCTGTGGATATAACAATTGGTTCTTAGAGTCTGGGAAGTCTTTCCAAAGAGCCAAAGTGAGCTGAGCTAGGAAGGATAGAAGAGGTGGGGTTGAAAGATGACTTAGACAGGTGAAACTTACACAGGTGAAACAAAGGGAAATTTGGGGGCTGTGGACAAAACCACAAAGCAGTAAAAACAACAACAACAAAAAACCTACAAAGCAGTAGATCATCTAGACACAGAAAAAGGGTAATGAGAGGAAGTGGCAAGAGAAGTGGAAGGAGATAATACAATGAAACAGGATGAGATGTACTGGTCTGGGCTCTCAGACATTGCTATCACTGGAATTTGGAAGAGTTTTCAGCTCAGCAGTGAGCTTTTAAAGAGGAGAACTAAGGTTTAGCTCATTATATTCTGATCCTATTTGTCAGGAAGAGATTTTCTGAAGCAATTGTGCTTAAAAAGTTGATTAAATTTGTTCCACATTTTTGGATAAATATAGATGGCAGCAACACTAATAGCAGGTGGTAATAGATCAGTCACAGGAGCATTTCAACATATACTCTATTATCACAATGGCTATTATGAGGGAACCTGGATAGAGTGGGAGCAGCATTTGGGAGGGGGGACGTGTGTGTGTGTGTGTCTTCTCCAACATATCATTAGCAGTGCCATTCCCACTGTGAGTAGAAAAACGAGACCCAAATAACACAATTACAACAAAATGTAATGAAGACAGAGTTGAGGCATTTTCAAAGTATAATCACTGTCTAGAGGAAAGACCCCAAAGTTTCCCTGGTGAGTAGATTGAATTGGAATGGGAATGCTGAAGTTGAAGCCTTAGGAACCATTAGAGTTAGGCAGTTGGGCAAGGGAGGGATATGAAAACATCATGGGTAGAAAGACAAGCATGGACAAAGGTATAGCTGCATATGTGACACCATATAATTGAAGACATGATTGTGTGATTCAGAGGATCAGCACTTGCATCGTTAAAAAGCAGAAAATACCAGTGAAGTCTTGAGAAGATGAAGAAAGCTTCCTACAGGAGGCCATTCGCCAGTACCTTGACATTCTGCTTACCCAGCAAAAACAAATCCAAGTCTCAAATGGAAAGAAATCTAGACATATATTCATTTAAAATGATTAAAGAGAGACAGCTATATTTTTCTGATTCTCAAACCTCTTTTTTAATGGACATAATTCTCCTTGATGAAGAGTCTGGTCTACAGAATGAAACATTCCATCTATTCTTTAAAAGCCAAAATAACTCTGGAAAGGAATAAGCATTCTGGGCAAGGACAAGTCCAAACTGAAGATTAATTGGGTGTCCCTCTGCCAAAAGGAGAAGGTTAGGTGGGTTGTCAGCTTTGGATTTTCTGTGTGTGGTTTTTAATGCATGTCCGGTGTCTCATCATTACTTTTGTGTCTTAGGAAAGACTTCTACCATACTATTTTTTTGTGGGATGGGAGATGCCTGTTTTTTCACTTAATGAACATAAAGTGGGTGTGTTGGATAAACTATATCCTGATATTTTTTTCTCTTATTGTTTCTTTGCCCTTTCTAAGTTGGAACTAAACAGAGTTTTTTCTTTCTGGATCAGGTGTTAGCATTTTATTTTGCACAAGATGTAAAGTTATACAATGATTTCTCAGACTTAAATGATGCATACAATAGTTTCTTAGCATGGAAAAACAGTACTGTAAACATTGATATGTGAAAAAGTATCTTTTAGATCATTAACACATTTTATTTTCTAGTTTTATTAGTAATTGGACTTACATTACTGTGTCTTCAATTTATACAAAGCTTTCATTTCACACTAGAGATCTAGGCTCAGCCAACATTTTTGGCATGTCAACTTCTATTCAATACATAAAAGGTCACATAAATGAGCAAAAATACATGTAAATAGAAGTTAAATTAAGGACCTAGGTAATATATATTACCAGTCCTGATA